GGTCAGGGACCAAACTTGCGTGGAGATACTGAAGCAATATCATGTCACAATGTCGGATCTAACAAGTATTATTACTACACTTAAGAAACTTAACAGCAATAACTATAGCTACTAGGAGATTTGTATGAAGTCCTGTTTATAAGGACAATACCTCTATGAGGTCATCGGGGGTGCCGAAACTACATCACCTTGGGAAGCTGGCGAAGCTCTAAGAAAATAGAACATCAAAGCCGGCAAAGTTGTGTATGTAGTGAAGATGACAGTAGAAGAAGATCTCGTAGACTATATGCTAGATGCCAGAACTCTGAATGAGGCATGGAATACGCTTGCCACACTCTTCTCGAAGAAGAACGATGCTTGACTTCAGCTCCTTGAGAATCATCTTATGACCTTGTAATAGAAGGATCTGACAATCAGTCAGTGGTTCAAGCAAGTAAAATCACTTTGTTCAGATATTGCTTAGTTAGATCCTGGTTCTAGAGTGTTGGATTCAAGGATGCAAAGAATAATCATCCACAGTTTAAGACCGGAGCACCATGGGCTCATTGGTGCTACACGCGGCTGGCCGACTCAACCAACACTATTAGAGTTAGAGAGTTTGCTCGTACACAGGAGACCTTAGCTAAACAAATGGTCAACATTTCAATAAAAAGTGAAGATAAAGCATTCTTTAGCAATAAGAAGAGAGGCAAACTAAGAGGCGCGAGCAAAGAGGAGTATGTTGTGCGCGGCGCGGAAGCGAGACAACCAAACGAGTGTGCATTGAGAACCAAATCAAACAAACGTCGAGACAAAGGCCAAACAAATCTAAATAACGGCACAAATCCAAACACAATAGTTTACGTGATTCGGTAAATTTGCCTACGTCTACGGGGCAAGAAGGGGATTGGGTTTTAACTAATAGAGAAGAAGAGTACAAACTGAGATTACAAAACGCTCGAAGGAATAAACTAATATCACCAACAAATCTATTAATCTCTCCAAAATAAACCCTCAAATAATTGCTCAGAAAAACTCTCCTTTTTCTGTGCTCCAATATCCCCAAACCAATCTCAAATCAAAGCCAAAGAAACTCTAATTCGTATGTTGGTATTTATAGCAAACACCAAACCCAAACTGAACAGGAAACTCAAACTGGGCCCTGACCCGATTGGCGGTCGACCGCCCAAAGCTCGCGGTCGACCGTGATCCAGCGACAGAGACCAAAAAGTCCTACAGGGTCTCGCGGTCTACCGTGACGGTCGACCGCGCCAAGTCTAGGCACAAATCCTGGATCTGTGCATGATCGCGGTCGACCGGCCTTACGTCGCGGTCGACCGCGCAACTCCCAAACAGACTCCTACGCTTCCAAAACCTGTTCTTTACCAAAATTCATCGCAGTTTCTTTATTTCTCCACCCCGGCGAAGTTTCTACCAAAACTGAGCCGACACCAACCAAGCCAAATGTCTCACTTGCTACGTCCAGTATGAAGTGAAATGATCCACAACAACGGACTCAATCCACAACAAGTCGAGACCCAAACGGGAGTACGAACACTCACCCAAACGTCGGTATCTACTCACCAAATCGGCCGCATCATAAAGACTGCCTACGTATCCTCTTGCCTAAGGAATCAAGCATTCACGTAGTTCACCCAAATAGCCTCCAAAGGCACTCAAACAAATAGAAAAGTCTGCAACTCTTCACCAATATTATTTGCATCCAAATCCAATAATCCCCAATCTGTGTCACCTCAGCTGGAATCCCAAACGATGCAGTATGATCTGGAGTATGTGGAGTAAACTCCATCCAACGTGGAGTAGCATCACCCTCCACCTGCTGTGATATCCAAACGACCTGATCAATACTCTCTACCTGCCGAGAGTCCAATGTGACATACCTGCTCAGAACAAAATCAGAAGCTCCCAACATATTATCAAATAAGCCTCTGAATCCCAAACGCGCAATCGGATCAAATTTCACATCCTCGATGTGACCAAATACTGGGTAACTAAATATCCGACACCAACCAAAATCTGAAGCAGCTCCACCAATCCAAAATCTCTAAACGCAACAGTCTGCAACCTATGCATAAGATGACTCAAACATGTCGAAACTCCAAAACTAGAACCCAATGTTTGACAACCAACGCCGATCCCCCTCCAGAAAGGAACGACCAATCACAACTGTCATCTCATCTCGTCGCCCCAATATTTCCACACCAATGAAGTGTCTCCAATTGCCGTGAGCTCGGTACAAACGCAGAAATAGGTCCCTCTTGTACCTCCCGCTAAAATCAGAATGAAGTACCTTCACCTTCTGCCAATACACTTCTTCAACTGTTGTTGACTACTAGGACTTCAAAACCAACGGGACTTGGTTGTAACCCACAAATGCCTAGTACAATCCCCAACATAGGAAACTAAAATACCAATTTACCTTCTAATGATGCCTCCTTGGAAGACCCCTAAATGCCTGAATGAACACCAAATAGAAGACCCCTCAATCATCGAATAGAAGTGCCAAACTCCACCTCGGTCTCCTTTCTCATATCAACGTGCTCAAAGGACTTTAATATGTAGGTCAATGGCACTTCTCAATAATCCAATACACCGTATCAACAAACAAATAAACCAGTCTCAAATCCTTCTATCTCGACCAACTATCTCAAAGCACCAACAAATGAAGAATAGATCCAAACTGATAAAGCAAAGAATTTTACCTCCAATTGAAACCCTAACAAGAGTATCCAAACGATCTCACCCCGCACGACGGCAACGAGATCCACAAATAGGAAAAATCCTACCTTTATCTCCAAATGAAGTCCTCGAAGAGCCTCCAAAGCGATCTACTCCTCCAAATAGCCCAAACACCAACAAACCAATGAGGAACAAATGAAGAATAGATCCAAACTGAAAAAGATAGAGTCTTTACCAAAAAGATCCCACCTTTCTCACGAAACGAAGCCCTAGCCGAACTTTCAAATTGATCTACTCCTCCAACCAAGACAAAACCCTAGATCTAGAATATGGAGCTCTGATACCAATTGTTGTGCGCAGTGCGGAAGCGAGACAACCAAACGGGCGTGCTTCGAGAACCAAATCAAACAAACGTCGAGACAAAGGCCAAACAAATCAAAATAACGACACAAATCCAAACACAATAGTTTTACGTGGTTCGGCAAATTGCCTACGTCCACGAGGTAAGAAGGAGATTGGGTTTTCACTAATAGAGAAGAAGAGTACAAACTGAGATTACAAAATGCTCGAAGGAATAAACTAATCTCACCAACAAATCTCTTAATCTCTCCAAAATAAACCCTCAAACAATAGCTCAGAAAAACTCTTATTTTTCTGTGCTCCAATATCCCCAAACCAATCTCCAATCCAAGCTAAAGAAACCCTAATTTGTATGTTGGTATTTATAGCAAACACCAAACCCAAACTGAACAGGAAACTCAAACTGGGCCCTGACCCGATTGGCGGTCGACCGCCCAAAGCTCGCGGTCGACCGTGATCCAGCAACAGAGACCAAAAAATCCTACAGGGTCTCACGGTCGACCGTGACGGTCGACCGTGCCAAGTCCAGGCACAAATCATGGATCCGTGCACGATCGTGGTCGACCGGCCTTGCGTCGCGGTCGACCTCGCAGCTCCCAAACAGACTCCTGCGCTTCCAAAACCTGTTCTTTACCAAAACTCATCGCGGTTTCTTCAGAGTATGGAAAGGTTAGCTCAAGGAGGCAGTCAGGATGACCATACACTAGCAGAAAACAATAGAGTGAGGAGCAAGGTGATTGTCAAGCAAGGTGATTTGACTGTAGCTGCTACAACTATGGGAAGAAAGGACACTTTGCCAGAGACTGATGCTGCAAGAGAATACCTGCAGAGAGCAATGTTGCAATATCGCGCAGATGTCAAGATGATGACGAAGAATGGAATGCTCAAGCATCTACGGCCATCATTGAAGATGTATTAGTTGACGAAGAAGAGGTCATTGATATGACAATAACCTTGATTGTGGAGGAATCTGAGTCCACACTTACAACGGCTTCAGATCGAGAAGAAATTAGCTATAGTAAAGATTGGATCGTCGGTTCTAGCTGTTCCAATCACATAACAGAAGACAATGTGAAGTTTGTCAATATGAAGGAGTATAAAGGCGTCCGAGAAGTTGTGATAGCGAATAATTCAAGATTGCCTATCACACACATCGAAAAAAATTGTATTACACCGCGCTACAACCCGAATCGGATACAACTACGAGATGTATGAAGGGTTGTACTACTAGAGAAATAATAATAAGATATTTCTTAGTGTCCACCACCCTTCTCGACTCAACAAGTGGTATCAGAACCATTTTGACAAATCAACATAGTATGTGTCGTTTTTATTTTTTAATAAGAAAGAAAAAGCAGCAAAGTACGTAAAATGTTTACGTACATAGAAATAGCTTGACGACGACGAACATGCATGCAAAATTATATTTTCCAATCAAAATGTACAAACCAAAACTCAGTTACATGATCCTCTTCTTCCTTCCCTCTGGACAAAAGTACGTTATAGTACTATGTTTTCGGGTTCTTAAAAAAACATTCACGCTTATTAATTATACACCGAAAAACAGTACAGAGCTCAAGAAAATCATCCAATCAACAGAACCCTTCAAATGCATTTGGTCTTCGAGCAGCTCCTGGCCATTCTGGGCATCTAAATCTCCAATTTGCTATCTCGAAGAAGAAGGCAGCAACCAGCAGAGAGTCATCATGAACTCTACATCGATGAAGGGAACCATCGCTTCCGTGCTTGCATTGTACTGGCTACTTCGACGATTGCTTTCGATGCATATCACTAGTAGAAAATCAGTCAAACTAGACGGAACAACCTAGACGGAATATAATTCCGTCTAGTTTGAGGTAAACTAGACGGAATTATTTCCGTCTAGACTGTTCCGTTTGGATTGCCTCGTCCTAGACGGAAAATTCCGTCTAGGTTGGTATTCTGGACGGAATGCCTCCGATATTTTGGTTTTGAGACCCAGCGCCACAATTTCCCCCTATCTTTTCATTTCCCGCTATGTAAAAACCCTAAAAACTATTCAGATCCCCAATTCTTCATCCTCCTCCGCTCAAACTTCCGGCACATCTCCACGCCGACCTCGACATTGTCGAGATCCCCCCTCCTCCGCATCTCCTTAATAGCCCCATCCTCCTCCATGGTCGGCCTCAGATTCGCTCTGCTCCATGATTGGATTCGGTTCCCTCATCGTCAAATCGGCAGACTCTCTCTCTCTAGACGAAGACAATGACGATGTTTTTTGAACTGAACACCGGCGCTAAGGACCCGGTGGTTGGTCTGGGGACGTGGCAAGCAGATGCCGGAGGCATCCGAGGTGTTGTGATTGCTGTCGTCAAGGTTCGATCTTTGGAATTTTAAGGGGGTTTTCTCAATTTTTTGGCCCACAATTTTAATCTTTGGGATCTTGATGTTCGAGCGATGGTTGTCTCGATTATGTATATGATGCTTTTTTATTGCTCTGTATTTTTCTCTGTTAGTTTCACATCATGACATTGTACATAAGTATCAGAAAGTTGCCACCATCGTCAATCCACGAGCTCCTCCCAGACTCCGTCAAATCCTTCTCCGTCTCCTCCAACGGCCACTTCACCGTCAACCTCCAATCCCCCTGCTACATCCACTTCGATTACCTTGTCCACTACGCCGACACCATCACCGGCGTCATCAAGTATGGATCGACCGACGAGCTGAAGGGGATCAAGGTCAGAAAGTTCCTTGTTTGGTTTGAATTTTTTTTGGTTGTTTATTAAGGAGCTATCACTTTCTATTTCTATACTCAGTGAGAATTTCCTCTCGATTTTTTTTTGGTTAATTTTGTGGACTTGATGAATTTTTTAAGTTATTGTGTATTTTTTAAGGCAGAGGAGGAATTCGAGCTGGTTGCGGGCCATCGATTCGCCGACGAAGGCAGAGGAGGGATTCACGCCGTTCTTCCTTTCGATCTGGGTTTTTGTTTATTTTCGTATTTGAGAAATTGTACTTAGTTTCTTAATGAGTTTTTTTTCTGGAATTGGGATATATTGATATTATTTGGCACTCATTTTGTTGGGATTTTGAGTAATTGTTGATGGTTGTTGCAGGGGATTGGGGTTCGGTTGGCAATGGGCGAGCTCTGCGCTGAAACTTGGTTTTTGTTGTAAGTATTTGTCAGTTAGATGTATGTTGTTTCTATAGATAAGTGGAATCAAATTGGTCAGATGTTCATATTGTATTCTCATTTGTGTGTTGTCAGAATACAATCTGGGGCCTTTTCTGTGACAACTCGTGTTATTATATAATCTTTCTCATGTTTTAAGAGTTTTAGTGTACGATTCACTGACTATATACATCTTTAGATAGTAATTAACCAGTTACATTAATTTAAGAGTTTTAGTGTACGATTCACTGACTATATACATCTTTAGATAGTAATTAACCAGTTACATTAAATTTCTTGATGGCTTCTTCATTTGATCATAGAGCTTCTTCTTTGTTTTCAACTTTGTTTCTTGAAATTAGGTCCCTTGTTGACATCTGCAATCTTTACTCGTAATTGGAATTGTTTGATTTACTATGTGAGGACTTGACGGGGATACAAATGTATAGTTGCCTTTTGCAATCTTTTCCATAGACCTGAACCTTGTGTGGGCTTTAAAGGGAGAATCAGGGGGTTTCTACCAGAGATGGAATGTTCTATTGCTTTGCTTATTTTGAAAGTTTACAGGTTGCTATTGGCTCTTGCATTCCTATCATTTTATTATGCATTATTGAAGATTTTTTGCACCATATGATTGTGATGATTTGATTATTATAAGCATTAGCATGCACAGTCATGATTTAAAGATGATATGGAAGATAAGTTTGATTTTTAGCAACAGATAAATCGATTGAAGTTGAGAGCTTTTTATTTACCTGTTATTTGGATAGTGAGGAACAGCTGAAATAACTTTTTTGAGTTTATTTTACCTAATTTGTACTTTGTTTGAAAGCAGCTGAAACATTTTTGAGTTTATGTTTCTTTACGTACTGTTTTAAGGTGAAGCATATTGAGAATAGATCGGATTCCCTTCAAGGTATGTGTGAATGATGCAAATTTAATATCTTTTATTCACTTATAACAATTCTGCTCCAAATTGTATTTTCTCATGATTTCTTTAGGATATATAATATACTGCATGTTTCTTTTTCTTAATAATCTACCACTTATCATGTGAATTTATGTACTTTGCTATTTAGTTGGTTTGTAATTCTTCTTTGTGGACACTAGGCCTTTTGTGAAATCATATTGGAATGACACACAGTTTCACAATGATTGGAGGGAAGTTGCTCCTCCACAAAAATTTTATCACGTTATTTTTCTCATTAGTATGCTCTTATCACAATCTGTAAGCATGTAGGAGTCCTGTTTGAAGTTAGCATTTTAATTTATGTATTCAATGTAAAACTTGTCATTATTATACCTTTAGTTACGGAGGTGCATAGCGATTGTTCCAAACTCATTTAGTAAACAACTTGGAGTTTTCTTTATATGTAACTGACATTTCATTTTAATATGGTTTGATAGGGAGGCATACTCAATGCATTTCGATACTATAGCAAAGTTGCTGTACATGGATTGCTCTCAATGTTGTTGTTAGTCCAGTAACCAATATTTTGATTTCTCTATTAGTTTTTTTGAAAAGTTAATGCTTTCTAAGTGTATTTCAGGCATGGACTAATTGATGTTGAATTTTGTATAATGTAGGATCAAGGAGGAGGAAACATGATGCTTCAACAACTTGGAGGAGTAAATGCAATTGGATTCTATAAATTATGCAAAGTTCATCAAGTTATGTAAACAATTGTATTCTTTATAATCTATGTAAAAATTTTATGTATCTTTCTAGTTTTTTGGTGAATGTATTATTTGAATATAATTATATTTGACATTGAAATATAATTAGATTGATTATGTTGGATATGAATATGATTTGGTGTTGTACAATATTGTGTACATGTGATATCATATAGCATGCAACGTAGATTCTGCAAAAAATTTAAAAAAAAAAAAAAAAAAAAAAAAAAAAAAAAAAAAAAAAAAACTGTAGCTGATCAACCTAGACGGAAATCCGTCTAGGTTGCTACAGTAGCAACCTAGATAGATTTCCGTCTAGCTTGATGCAACCTAGACGGAATTCCTTCTAGGTTGGCAACCTAGACGGATTTCTTATTTCCGTCTAGGTTGCTTTCCGTCTAGGTTGTCAATCTAGACGGAATTCCGTCTAGTTTGTCCCAACCTAGACGGAAATATACTAGACGGAACAAACTAGACGGATTTCCGTCTAGGTGAACCAACCTAGACGGAAACACGAGCAATCTAGACGGAAATTTCCGTCTAGATTGCTCGTTTTTCTACTAGTGATCGATCCTCTTCACTCGATCAGGACTAATTAAGGATGCGTGTACTGTTGATATCACTTGTTCGTTGCTAATTAAGTACATCCCGGGCCCGAAAGAGCTAATTAAGGAAGACTGCTTTAGTTTTCTTCTTCCCTAGCTAGCTAGTTTCCTTGCATGCTCATAACAATTTATCATGTCTCATTTTTGGTCTTAGCAGATACTCTCCCTGACTGACTGATACTATAAATGACCTGTTAGCTAGAAATATCACGTGCAAGATGGGATGGCAACTGTTCTTTTTCTTTTTCTTTTCCTTTTTTTTGGTGATAAAGAAAAATTACTTGAGAGTGTTTAGAAACTTGGCTTATAATTAGGGGTGCTTTCGGTCTGGATACGGCTTGGATATGATACTTACCATATCCATACCCGCTTATACATCTCGGATACGGATACGGATATACCTCAGTAAGGAAATTTTATAACCATATCCGCTAAAATCGGATACGGTTATGCACATACATGCGGATATATAAACGGATATGCATGCGGATACAAAACAGATATGAGAAAACTAGATAGTATTGAGAAAAACATAGTTCTGTGACATAAAAGAGTTCATTAATATGTCTGTTATAACTGAAAAGCTAAGATTAGACATCTTGATCATCAAAATAAAACCACAAATCCATAATGTAAGAATCGAAACTATCGTAAGAGTATGACTAATATGTATTCAGATATTTCGGATACGGATACAGATATTTCACTACAAAACCATATCTGTAACCATATCCTATCGGTTATAGATTTGAGTAACCATATTCGTATCCTAACGGATACGGTTACTAGTGCCACTAGGAAGGAAGGGGGGGGGGGGGGGGGGTGAATAGGGTTTATGCTAATCTAATCTGATTTTATGTTAATTAAAAATCTTACTAGCAAATATGATATGCAACAAGATATATATGCAATGATAAGTAATATAGACAAGTGTAAACAAAACAGTTGACAAAATAAACAAATAGACAATGACTAAATAAGATGAACAAAAATAGTGCGTCAATGCAAACTCAAACAAGCAATATAATCACGGAGTTCGGACCTTCCGTCCTACGTCTCTGCTCCCCACTCCCGAGGAGAAATCTAGTATCACACCGGGTTTTCGAAGCTCACCCAAAAACGTTTACACCTCACACTTAGTTTTCTAGCTCACCGAAAACTTTACAATCAACACTCTTGCAATCCCACTCTACACCCTCTAAGTGTTGGTCTCTAGCCCGTGTCTCCCTCAAAAACTCGGATTTATAATATTTTCCTAGGCTTTACTACCGACACCACTCCTCTTGGGACGATACCGTCTCTCACCACACACTCCACTCGGTGTACAAGTGTATTACAAAGTGATCTCACAATTAAAGCTCGAATACAACAAATTTGTTCTCTACAATGGATGAGAACACAATGTAGGCTCACTCTCTAAGTCACACAAACCCACAACTCAATTATACAATGTATGCAAATACAATAAGCTCAATGGTTGTGTGTGTAAGCAAAGAGTAAAACAATTATAAACTCAATATAAAATCTAGCTTATGGAAATTAAGATAAAAAACAATAAATAGCTAGAATTGAGTTTAAGGAAACTTCTCTATAATGACAAGAATTAAGATAAAAAACAATAAATAGCTAGAATTGAGTTTAAGGAAACTTCTCTATAATGACAAGAGAGAAAGAGAGGGAGATGAGTTGAATGCCCAAACACCAAAGATTATCTCCTCAAGCTCTTGTGAAAATTTCTTCACAAACTAAACTCTTAAACACACTGTAGGCAATAAAAATTACCTTTAAATCCTTATCAGAGAAGTTCAGAACAAAACTGCTAAAAACCTCGCTCGAAATAGCAAAAAGGGGAAAACGCAGATATCTCCCAAACCGTAAGGAATTTGACGAAACGGAGGAAGCGAACCAAAACCTTCGGCTTGGTTCGGATGGCTCCATCTCGTCAAGATAGGTGATTTTCATATATAGTTCGTCCAATTCCGACTTACGGTTTGAAAGTTACGGCCTATTCTTCGATCCATGCTCAGGAGCTCGCCTGCAGCTCGAATTTCGCCTGCACGATCAAGACCCAAGTCTGCCTGCACACCTGAGCTCGCCTGCAGACCCAGTTCGCCTGCAAGCTCGCCTGCAGACCCAAGTTTGCCTGCAGTCACAAGCTCGCCTGCAGACCCAAGCTGCAGACTCGCCAGCTCATTGTCAACTGCCCACTTGGAGTATGGGAACAGTTACATCAGTGGTCAAATCCCACAAATCAAGGGAGAAGGCACAGTACCCCAAGACCCACAAATCAAGGGAGAAATCATGGCGCTCCTCACCTAGCAAGAATTGGGCGGCTGACAGGACCCCCTAAGTGGTCACATCCCACAGCTAGGGCGGCTGGCTCCCTCACCTCCATCAGTAGTGGTCAAACACAAATCAAGGGAGAAAGCATGACGCTCCTCACCTAGCAAGAATAGGGCGGCTGACAGGACCCCCTAAGTGGTCACATCCCACAGCTAGGACAGCTGGCTCCCTCACCTCTATTAGTGGTCAAATCCCACGAATCAAGGGATGGCCCATGCCATTCCTTGCCTATTAAAACCCATCTTCAGCCAGCATGAAGGGGGGATTAGCTGTTGCATATTCTGCTGGCTAATCTCCCAAAGGTTGAACCTGGACCTTTGCCAAAGGCTCCCTCATTTGAGAACTGAAGCTCCGGTAACAACTTCGATCGGATCGTCCAAGGAAAGCAGACTCGGCACGAGCACCGAGCGAGGCGTCCTATCGCCACCGAAGAACCCACATTAAGCAAGGAGGGCTTTCCCTCCGCTTCTGTTGTAAACATTTGATTATTAGTTTGTAATAAGCTGTTCTTATCAATACAAACGAAGTTTCCTGTTTTCGGGAGATCAAAATTTACACCTACACACACTTTTAAAACCCTTAAACAAACTTATAAAACTCTTTAAAAAAATTCTCTTGCTTGGTGGGAGAGATAAATGCTATGGGGTATTTATAACAACCCAAGACATCAGCCAAAACCCTAAGGAAATGACCAAAAACCTACACAAAAACAAAATCTGAAAATAGTCATTGCTGTGCAACGGTCATATTGACGGTCGATCGCAGCACCATGGCCGGTCGACCACGAAAGGCTAAAAAACAAAGCAAAGTCTCTGGACAATTGGCGGTCGACCGCCGCGACCACTCCAGTCGACCGCGGACTGATATTTCTGATACCCAGGCTGAAAACTAAAAATCTGATTTTTAAACTCGATTTAAAAATAGTAAACAAATTCAGAAAAATGTAAAACTTTGGGGAATGATTATAAACATAAAAATAAACATGTTATAAAAACTGGTTTTCAAATAGCACCTCCCAAATGAGAAATCTCTTTATTTTACAAAATAGTCTAAAACATGAAAACGAAATACATAAAATTTGACATTTTGACTAAACCATGTTTTGGAACTCTACAAAATGATTTTATAAACTTAATAAAAGATGTATATAGTGATATTGAAGTCTATAAACTAATAAAACAATATTTTCACAAAAACACCTATATTTTGATAAAATCAACAAATACGTGTGTGTGATTAATATGAGCTTGAAGTATTAACACACAAATATAAACCTATATACTATAAACAGTATAAACTATATACCCAAGCTTGATGAAGGTCTTCAATGAGTTCGACTTGGTAAATTTGCGGATGAAGCTTGATCTTGGATCTTTAACTTAAATTGCATTGCTTCACTCCACTATTCCGCCAACCTCCATTGGATATCATCGTGAAAGCTCTAGTCCATCCATCCTCCATTTGATTGTTTGTCTAGAATAAATAGGAAAACACAAACACTAGACAAACAATATTAGTTGTAAATTGTTTTTAAAAACATCATCAAAATAAGAAGGCCAACACGGATATGGTTACAGGCATTTCCTCGAATACATATACGGTTTAGCATCCCTACTTATAATCCATTTGTGGATTATGAGCTAAATAGATTATAATCCAAAGTGTTTGGTAAAAAAATGGATTATAAGCCACTTCCAATAAGGGAGTGTTTAGCAAATGGATGGAATATTACAATCCACTATTGTTGTCAAAATAACCAAAAAAGAAACGACTAAATTTAAGGATACTAGTATATAGAGTGCACATGCGTTGCACGTGGACATATTTGTTTTATGTTGTAAAAATCATAGCAGAGTGTTAATTATTGATTCTCTAGTTCTTTTAGTTAATTTACATAATTTATCATCCTAAAATTCACAACGTTGAGCCCATAAGATTTGATGGCTAGTATACAAGGGAGTGGTTTGGTAATGAGTGTTAAACCGATGAAATTTGATAACTAGAACTCTCCTTTCTCTCTTAGAAATTGGTTTCGTTTGGATACCATGGTGTTTTTCTTGTTGTGTTTTTGTAAAAAAACACCATAGTGTTGTGT